AGCTCGTCATCTAGTTTGCTAAAGTTCCATCTTTTATGATCAGAAACATTACCTTTTTTAAATATACGTTCTTTAAAGGTAAAGACAATTACAAATGATCAGAGAGGGTTTCGACCTGTTCGAGCACCGACCAATCCTCAACACGGTCGACAATACCAGAGGAAACCATGACAAATCCACGATAGATCCACCCTGCGGTCTGACACACGTATATGCCGTCCCAGTATTAAGTAGGCGTAGATCGAGCATTGCCGACCATCTTGCAACTAATTCCCCACGCCTATTAGAGGTAGCGGAACCCCAATGTAGAGTGCGCATTAAAATCACCACAAACAAAGAATGGTTGGGTGGCAAGCCTACTTATGCTGCTGCTAGGTTATCCAAAGTACGACAAAAAATATCATTATTTACAATTAGGGGATACGTAGCCAAGAAGTCACGCAAACATCCCCCATTTGCGCAATAACAAACCCATGACCACGCTCAGAACTCTACAGCTTAGATTGTTTAGTCCCTCAGGCCTCCACAGGATAGCAGCAAGATCGTTCGAGCTTTGAAATACGTATTGCTCTCTTCAAGCCTGCTGGGGGGTTCAGCGACAATGGCAAGGCCAATGTCAGCTTCTACCATATATTGCCTAAGAAGATCCAAGGCTCCCCAGCTGCGATTGAGATTTATCTGTATGAATCTAACACTTTGCATCATGGATTGGACGATTGTGATCCTATTCTAGCCTTACTAGGCACTCTCTTTTTTAGGGATACAACACCACTAGGGTATCCGTGATTTTCGAGGCAGCGTTGTGTGCCGATCCTATGCCTATGCTCTTTGCCATCCTCTGCACAGATAAGGCATCTCAGCACTCCGGAGTTACACGCACCAGCCAAGTGTCCCGCCTGACCACAGCGGAAGCAAGTGCCCTTCCTGTCAATTTCTGCGGCACACCGTGACGCAACATGTCCAAAGCGCCAGCATTTGTGGCACTGTATAGGACGCTTTTTTAGTAGCTCTACTCTAACCCGAGTCCAACCAAGCGTCACCACTCCATTTTCTGCGATTTTTACCGCGGTTTGTAGCGGGCAGGTTACCCAGGCAACCCCCATTCCATCTCGCATATTAGATATGGTACTGACCTTGAATTCATTACGGTGTGCTCCACTGAGGGACTCCCATTTCCAGGTAGATCTCTTCCTCGGTGGTCGAAGGATCTATACCCCGTATACGTAGTTCTCCCATTGTGACAGGATTTGTACCCTAGCATCTTGTCCCAGAACTTCCGCAAGATGAGATCTAAGGACACTAGCCAGTTGTTTCCCCTGCGGACCAGGGACTTCGATAACAATGGCACCACTAATTGCTCTACGAATAACTGTGGTTTGTATGCCCAGTTCTCTAAGACATACCTTTTCGCGAGCTTTAGCTAAGATCTGCGCGTAAGTAAGACCATCAGGCTTGCTAGTTATTGTAACAACGGCAGGTTTGATGAATCTTTTACCAGATTTGGCCGTTTCTCTCCTATCCACTACTCGACTCCGGGCATTAATACCCAGTCTGTTGTCAGACATTCTACGACCCTTCCTGCCACCCTGTTCATTCCGGATCACCGGAAGGGGGGGGCAGGGCAGGGGGCACTATCTGTATGTTCTCCACTAACCTGATGTTCCTACACGCGGAGTAGATTGCATTGCAGGGTTAGTTTTATCATAATTCTTAAGATTAGTCTTAGGTTTAGGCTTAGTACTAAAATTAGCGTTATCGTTATACGCATTAGGATCACTATACATATTTGGATCACTGTACATATTAGAATCGCTATATATATTATTTTCGCTGTACATATTTGAATTTCTTCTATACTTAGTTTTAGCGCTAGGTATCTTTTCTTTCTTGCGTTTATCCTCTTCTTTGGTCCACGGGATCGACGCAGCTCCGCCCGGCCATTCTATATCACGGTCCATATATTCTCTATCCTTGGAGCAACCAGGAGTATCGCTTACTAGGGGCTCAACCTCCATATTGGATTCGACTACCTCCAGTCTCACAGGGGAGGCAGAATTCTTCTTCTCTTTTCTTTCCAATTTCTTCACCTCCAAAGGCGACGCTTTCACAGGCTTTACGCCTCCGTACGAGGAGGAGGCTCTAGGTGCCATCGCCGGAAATGGCCCAAATCCTTCCTTAAGCGACCTAATTTCGCGTTGTAGTTCGGTGATCATTTTTCGCAAGTTGTTTATCTCGTTACTTTGAGACTGCTCTTTCCGTTTAATCTCCTCGAGCTCCTCTCTCAGTGCAAAGTTTTCATTTTTTAAGGAAAAGGCATCACCCGCACAAGTGAGCCTTTCAATCATTGCCTTTGTGATTTCGGCTGCTATTCGTTTGCTGTCTTTCATACGCCCAGCCACTCGTCCAGAGATGTTGCTACAGCGGCTTCTCTGGTTTTCAATTTCATTCAGGTGATCGAGACACCTCGCGCCCAAGGCCGCGGGATCCATTTCTAACCAATTTTGTCTTGAGAATTGCAATTCTCTCTCTGCTTCCTCCTTAGATACTGCGATCGGAATGGCTATTTTCCTTCTTGATTTCTGTCCCTGATCTTTATATGAACGTTCAGCCGCACTCTTTTTACCATCCTTCTTCTTGGCACTTTTATTAGCAGAATAGCCACTACTAACAATGCAACTATCAGAGCTATTAACAGAAAATTCATGTGGGGAACCCTCGGACCCACGTGAAAGCAAGGTGCTACGTCCATCCGAACATCCAGAGAGTTTCCTCTGCCTCTCTACTACGGACTCGATGAATTCCTCCCTGAAAGCGGAGGAATCCCTCGAGACGTTAGAATCCGCTTCATCCAATCGTTCATTAGTTTTATAGTCTTTAACCATACCGGACCTTCTGGATTTTTTATACTTAGATTCTTTAAGCTGAGAGAAGTCAGCCACTTTTTCAATCTTTTTTTGGCTTCCTCTCGTGACGCGCCTATTCGAGGGTAGTTCTTCCTCATTCTCTGTCTCTGTGTCTGTTTTAGAACACGATTTTCTACTGTCAGAGCTAAGGTTTTTGGGCGACTCCACGGACTCCATTATCCGGGCTTTATTGGGCCGACGAGTAAACCTTTCTATTGAGTCCTCTGTCTCGCTGATTGGAGATGTGGAGGCCTTTCTTTTCTTTTCCTTGATATTTTGCACCACTGCCTCATCAGGTTGATTAACGTCCGGTGTTTCGTAGGTGCAAGCGACCATCTCCAACGGATTAATCTCAGCAGTAACTATTTGTTCTGCAGGGGCGCTAGCCGAGACCACCCCAACAGTGCCCTCGCATGATTCCCGTCCAAGGACGGTCGACCCAGCGGCGTCGGGCTCACCACTGTGCCGGTCTCTGGGAGATCCGAGTGCCCCCTGAGACGGTAAGTTTTCCTTGTCCTTTGTGAATTCCATGTTGTATATAGATTTTGGGGGCGTAATTCGAGCGCCCCCATCCCTAGAGCGATTGGGTGTTACTTGACCCAGGGTTCGCTCAACCCTACAGGAGTTACCAGATGTATAGAGCTCCGAATTTGATGACGCACCAAACTCAAATGAGGACAATATTTTATTAGAAGCGTCATCTATCTCTTGCTCGATCTCGAGGAGCGTGTTCTTTTTGTCCACTAGTCTGCTACTGATGTCATGAAGTGCGGACTTGGAAAGATCAATTTCCTTTATCATACGTGTATCTAGTATAATTTCTAGCTCTTGGTCACTTTCTCTATTCGTAGGTTGCGAGCAGTTATCCCGCCAGCTCCGAAAAGTCCCATCAATGTTGGTAGGTGGGGACTCTTCTGTAAGTGGAGACAAACCACGAAGTAGACTTAGTTCTAAGCTATGATCGTGTTCTCGCACTTCCATCAACTTGATACGATGCAGCAGATATTTCCGTGACATGTCCATCTGCTGGCCATAGTCGTACAACAACTTTACATAAGCAATCGTCGTACGAATATTGTTGCGTAAACAAACATTATTCCCAGATACAGCGTATTTTTCTAAGGAGTACAAATTCCTGATAGCACAGGCAACAAGGTCTTCCGAGGAGATGTTGTCCTTGACGAGCCTATTCATAAGGTCTAAGATATTTATTATCTCCTCCATTGTTGGTTATACTAAATTTATAACAGTTAACAATTAACGCAATAATAATCTATATTTAATTATTTATTCTATTAGTAGCAATTACCTAAGCCTAGTAAACTAGAATAGTTATTTCCTAAAGGTATTTGAAAATTTGTATAATTTAGTAACATAGAACTATTTAACTTAGACTATCTTATAATAGCTATATATCAGTATAACAATTAATAATAAATGCGGACAAAGCTCGGTTTACCTATACTTTCTACTATAGAATAGAACAAAATAAGTTATTTCTCGATGGGAGAGTTTATTGGATCGAGGATAAACCAATTCTCGCAATGCGCATGCGATACTAACTTATAAAAATTACTGCGCAGCCAGAACTAAAAATTAATCTTACTATCCCAGGGGGGAGGTCAAGTAGATACTATTACACTTGACGCGCATCCCCTGTCATAAATATACATCAACTGCGCAGCGAATGAAAAACGCATTTCCGGTCTTCAGTTTACGGCTCTATAGCGATTAGTAATCACTACAGGATGACTCACGCACGCGAGTCACGCTTGCTTCTGACGGAAATTATCAAAAACAAATATTCTGTAATTAACAACAATTAGAACTCATAACAATGCATAAACATTTGTAACAATGTATAAGAATAATATGAAAGTGTGACTACATGCTATTACTAATAAAAATTAATATTATATTAATGAATAGATAAATTATTAGCTAAAAATTATATTATTAACTAATTATCATCCATTGTCAAGTAATTTAGACAATGTTCAGGCAATAATTACATTCTGTTCGGCTTGACCGAATTAACTTGGACACCTTACATGTGTATAGGAGCCCAAGCTTTTCATCTAGTAATATTTCCTAAGTCGCTCATCTATACTCTGCATAGTATCTGGCCAGCTGTCACAATATACACACCGCGTGTTTAAGAATCGCTTATATTTTTACTTATATTTAGACAACAGCAGTCCAGAGGGAAATTAATAATTGTTTACCCTTTTACAGATGCAGTTTAACAAGCATACCAGGTGACAATAAAGACGGCAACGTCCAACACACGTGTAATTGAGGTTGAACGATCCGATGTCTTTACATTAATTACTGTGGGTAAATCCGCTCAATATTCACAAGGAAGAGCATATTATTATTCTTAGATCGTATCACAGGTATTAATGTATCGAATAATGTATCAAATAGGTACTAATGTATTCATAACCTATACTTGTACCAGAAAAGGAACATGCTAACACCATTTCAATTAATAGACAGAAACTATGTAATACATTTTATCAGATTGTCGTTCCCTGTTTATAGGCTAAGAAGACTTCCGTTATTATATTAAGAATTGAGCTACTACCACAGCGTATACGATATATCTCGTACTTGCATATATAAGATCGAGATCATCCAATCTGCATATGTAATTATCAATAAAAGAGGTAAGCAAAATGAATCCATACAAATTAACAATGCATTAGATTCATTTACTTATAATATCCGTATAATTATATAGTTAAGTCGCTAGACTGTTTTAATATAATAAACATACTCATAGATGTTTCTTAAGTAAGAATACTTTCAATTTTTAGATATTATATCCGTGGGGTTATACTCTCAGTAATACAGAGCAACTGCTCGCAGCTCATCTGCCGTGACAGAAGGATGTCACGGTAATTCACCTGTCTTACATCTGTCGCAATCATTCAATGGAACAGTGGCAACCATATACCGATTACGTGGTACATTTCATGCTATATCTATTTATAATTTATATCTTCATAAATTCAGGTTCTATACTCAACTGCGATAAGCATATATTCATATAAATATATATTTATGCATCCATAGAAAGTTCCAAATTAAACATAAACATGACTATACCAGGAGTGCAACAGATGCAACTACAGGCATAGATGTACATCCGTTTTAATGTTATAATTATAACAAAAGAGAAAGAAGCAACATTCACGTAATTCGATATTAAAATAACGTCTGAGTAATGCTATTTACGAACCGATTGTGTGTTATTCAGTAATATTATATTAGTACTATTATAATTAATGCTATTTAATAGTATTATATTCAATCTTATAAATTCAATTTCTGACTCAGTTACTATCAAAGTATATTCATGTTAATGTGTAATTGCACAGGGTTCCAAATATCATTATACCAGTGAGACAGTAAATACAACTATTCAGTACAGCCGTACCCGCGCCTCACAAATCACAATTATATTCTGCTTTAGCATAATATTAATAACATCTAATTAATGTCGCTTATAATTGTATATCAATTTAAGGTGCCAGGTTCAGTAGTATATTTAGTATTATATACAAATTACCATGTCAATACTGCAATATTATACTCCACAATACTATTTGCAATAATTGTATCAAGATAAACCGTATTAGCATAGCAATTTTACGATACAGAAATTAATTTCACTCAGCACTTTATTCACGAATGTGTAGCTATCAATGAGTGGAAAAGCAGAATGTATCCACACAAAAATCAATAGCGCAATCAAGTTCATTTACTAATGTCATTCTTGTCATTATATAATTCGATTACTGAGCTAATTCACTACCCGAATACGCATTCATAATGCCTTCAAGTAACGTCGCTTTCTATTTTTAGGTATTATACTCCTGAGGCAATACACTCAACAGATTCTGTGCACCTGCTCGCAGTACATCAGCCTTGACAAAATGAATTGCAGAGAATTACATCAAAGCGCTCATGCAATGGGACAGCAAAACAAACATTATCTACACAATATTTAACACCATACGAAGTGTCAATGTGATTTATATTTTAAAGATTCAATCTCTGCGCTTAATTACTATAATTACATAATATTTAACACTATATGAAGTGTCCATGTGATTTTATATCGTAAAGATTCAATCTCCGCACTTAATTACTATAATTATATATTAATAACATCAATATCAATATTTATTCACACGCGATTCTATTTTAAGTATTATTGTCCGGTAAGTTGATAGATACAACTGTTCAAGGCAAATGTATATGCGCCTTCATGAATTATATTATGAAAACCGAAAAAGCAGCAATCTACCATACTATAATATTCAAGTAACATCTGTTTAATTAATACTATTTATAATTCCTATTAGTTAATGTTATTATTAAGTAATATTGTGTTCAATATTATGTTCAACATTATGTTTGGATTGCAAAAGTTAATTAACAAATAATATTTTACAAAACCGTTGTATCCGGGTTAGCATTATTACTTTAGAAGTGTAGTAATACAAAAGTTTGTATCCACGCAGCACTTAATTCATGAATAATTAGTTGTTGTCTATTTGTTTATTTATTTGATAGTGTTGTGTGTTCATTGTACTGCTATTCTATAATTCATACAATCAGCATTAAAAATAAAATATATGCTTCATTACTATTATCAGAAAAATCCGACCGCAGTTCAATAATGCTTAATTCTTTGTTACAAGGATCTAATAGATCTGAGGTGCGTCAATGAATTAATGTCGCGCTCATTAGCAGTTATATTGTCCAATCAAAGATTAAATTATTATCATTAAATAATTAATTAAAAACATCTATTATAAATAAGCTACTAAAGAGGGCATAAGTATGTAGGTCATACAGGAGGAGCTTACTTTCCTCCTGTTACCAAAATGTTGTTGTAAGTTATATAAATTTATAATTGCCTTTATAGCACAATAGTTTGTTAATTCTTAGAATAACACTATGCTAATTTAAGTAATGTACTATTTACCTCCTATATATTGTGTACTTGTGTTCTTTTCAAATCAAATAGGAACTAACTAGTCGTATATCAGTTTCCTTAGAGTTATTCAAGGACCATCATAATTATCATGTTTTATAATAATTAGCCTCTAATAATTAGGATCTATCTTCTTTCTTAAATCCTCTTTACTTCCTAACATAGAGTATAATAAGACGAAACTGTTATTCAGTTGAACTAACTTATTTAAGATATGACAGCACATCTAAATTATTCCCTGCTACTGTTTTAATCATAAAACTATCAACCGGTAGATCTATTTATATAACATCAGCACCTGAAGGGTGATGCAGCTATTCAATATAGCTGCAAATATATATCAATTTCATCTAATTACGAGTTATACATGTAAGAATAATTCATCCTAAGTTTAACGATTACGTACAACTTATTCAACAGGAGTACAACTCTTTCCTATGCACATACGCATAAAGGGGCGTGTGCGAGAAAAGCCCTGCTATTGTTACTGATTAATGCTTATCAACTATTATGCAATTGCAAGTTATTAGTCAGTGGTATAGAGTGTATATTTCTATACGCTATCCACCGTCAAAACTCGCATATTTATTCACATTAATATTTAATTAGAACGCAAGTGTCACAGTCATGAGACTAGCATACAATAACGGCGCGAAATAATACATCAACCATAATTAACGTTAACAAAAACGCATGGGATGTCATTATTTATTAATATGAAATATAACACGCCAACAATAATGTTATCTAAAGGAACCTCAGAGCACAGTCCAGACTCATTCAGACAATTCAGTATAATAATATACCAATTATCAATAGAATCAATTGTTCTGAGTACACACAAAGTGATCTTAACCGTCCATCTAATTAATTAATTATCCATAATAACATTTGACAGATTGCATTAACAGGTAAGAGTGTAACATACATGTGTCACAAGTGTATGACATAGACTGCACACTACCAACCTAAAGTTGAGCACGCGCGCACTGCGCATATACAACAATCAGTCAACTGCGCATCTACTTGCTGATGACGTATTAGACAGTCAATCGTACCACCACAGTATTGAGCACGCGCGCGTTGCGCACAACTGAGAAAGAATACAACTGCGCAACTCACTTTAAAACTACACTTTATTGTACTTTATAATTCACCGCTTTAAAAGTTATTAATAACGGGATAATTTACACTATGTTCAGCTATAATTTAACAGTTTATGCTGTTTATACTATTTTACACACACAACAGTATCCAGAACTGTAAAAATAGTCTGAGGAAGCCAAATAAGGCAGTTCCGTGCTGTCAACACGAGGAAAAGAGACAGAGCTACACACTACTAAATGTTTAATTGAAATAATATCAGGTATCAATTAACATAAGCCTTCGTGAATATATGCTCAATTGTTCTCCACACAACATGGGACAAAAGTTCAGCTAACGTTTCACAGCATTCACTGATATATTGAGAGCACCGAAGTGCCACGTGGATGTCACTAGGAACGGGAGAGCCTGGCCACAGAAAATGTTAATAATTAATATTAACAGCGTTCCACAGCGTCACCCACACAATATATGAAGCACCAAAAAACACTTTTTTCAAAGTTGGGTTTAAATGACTCCCCACGTCACGAAACACCGAAAAAACCCGGTTTCAAAAAATCCCTCACTAAATCGACATTTAGTGGGAGATAGTTTTTTTCCGCTCTCAACCTAACCTAACCTAACCTAACCTAACCTAACCTAACCTAACCTAACCTAACCTAACCTAACCTAACCTAACCTAACCTAACCTAACCTAACCTAACCTGACCAATCCTGACCAATCCTGACCAATCCTGACCAATCCTGACCAATCCTGACCAATCCTGACCAATCCTGACCAATCCTGACCAATCCTGACCAATCCTGACCAATCCACGTGAGAAGGCTGGCGCGCACGAGCGAAGACTCCCAATCACTTGCGACGACTGCCGCGCATGTGAGAAGACTTCCTATGACGCGCGAAGAGTATCACGCATGCGCGAAGACTCCCAATCACGTGCAAAGACAGCCGCGCATGAGCGTAGAATTCCAATCAGGTGCGAAGACTGCAGCGCATGCGGGAAGGCTCCTAATGACGCGCGAAAGCTATCACGCATGCGCGAAGACTCCCAATCACGTGCAAAGACAGCCGCGCATGCGACAAGCATCCCAATCACGTGCGAAGACTGCCGCGCATGTGTGAATACTTCCAATCAAGTGCGAAGACTGCCGCGCTTGCGAGAAGACTCCCAATCACGTACTAAGACTGCCGCGCATGCGACAAGCCTCCCAATCACGTGCGAAGACTGCGGCGCATGCGAGAAGACTCCCAATGACGCGCGAAGGCTATCCCGTATGCGCGAAGACTCCCAATCACATGCGAAGACAGCCGCGCATGCGAGAAGACTCCCAATGACGCGCGAAGGCTATCCCGTATGCGCGAAGACTCCCAATCACATGCGAAGACTGCCGCGCATGCGAGAAGACTCCCAATGACGCGCGAAGACTCCCAATCACCTGCGAAGACTGCAGCCCTTGTGAGAAAACTCCCAATCACGTCCGAAGACTGCCGCGCATGCGAGAAGACTCCCAATGACGCGCAAAGGCTATCAAGTATGCGCGAAGACTCCCAATCACGTACTAAGACTGCCGCGCATGCGACAAGCCTCCCAATCATGTGCGAAGACTGCCGCGAATGCGACAAGCCTCCCAATCACGTGCGAAGACTTCCGCGCATGCGAGAAGACTCCCAATGACGCGCGAAGGCTATCACGCATGCGCGAAGACTCCCTATCACGTGCGAAGGCTATCACGTATGCGAGAAGACACCCAATCACGTGCGAAGACTGCCGCGCATTCGAGATGACTCCTAATGACGCGCGACAGTTGCTACGCACGCGCGAAAACTCCCAATGACGCGCGAAGGCTATCCCGTATGCGTGAAGTCTCCCAATCACGTGCGAAGACTGCCGCGCATGCGAGAAGACTCCCAATCACGTGCGAGGACAGCCGCGCAAGCGACAAGCCTCCCAAACACGTGCGAAGACAGCCGCGCATCCGAGAAGACTCCCAATGACGCGCGAAGACTCCCAATCACGTGCGAAGACTGCGTCGCATGCGAGAAGACTCCCAATCACGTGCGAAGACTGCCGCGCATGCGACAAGCCTCCCAATCACGTGCGAAGACTGCCGCGCATGCGAGAAGACTACCAATCACCTGCGATGACTGCCGCGCTTGCGAGAAGACTCCCAATCACGTGCGAAGACTGCCGCGCATGCGAGAGGACTCCCAATGACGCGCGAAGGCTATTTCGTTTGCGAGAAGACTCCCAATGACGCGCGAAGGCTATGCCGTATGTGCGAGGACTCCCAATCACGTGCGAAGACTGCCGCGCATGCGAGAAGACTCCCAATCACGTGCGAAGAATGCCGCGCATGCGGCAAGCCTCCCAATCACGTGCGAAAACTGCCGCGCATGCGAGAAGACTCCCAATAACGCGCAAATGCTATCACGTATGCGCGAAGACTCCCAATCACATGCGAAGACTGCCGCCCTTGCGAGAAAACTCCCAATCACGTCCGAAGACTGCCGCGCATGCGAGAAGACTCCCAATGACGTGCGACAGCTGCTACGCACGCGCGAAGCCATCCAATCACGTACTAAGACTGCCGCGCATGCGACAAGCCTCCCAATCACGTGCGAAGACTGCCGCGCATGCGAGAAGACTCCCAATGACGCGCAAAGGCTATCACGTATGCGCGAAGACTCCCAATCACGTACTAAGACTCCCGCGCATGCGACAAGCCTCCCAATCATGTGCGAAGACTGCCGCGCATGCGACAAGCCTCCCAATCACGTGCGAAGACTGCCGCGCATGCGAGAAGACTCCCAATGACACGCGACAGCTGCTACGCACGCGCGAAGACTCCCAATCACGTACTAAGACTGCCGCGCATGCGTCAAGCCTCCCAATCACGTGCGAAGACTGCGGCGCATGCGAGAAGACTCCCAATGACGCGCAAATGCTATCACGTATGCGCGAAGACTCCCAATCACATGCGAAGACTGCCGCGCATGCGAGAAAACTCCCAATGACGCGCGAAGACTCCCAATCACATGCGAAGACTGCCGCGCATGCGAGAAGACTCCCAATCACGTGCGAGGACAGCCGCGCAAGCGACAAGCCTCCCAATCACGTGCGAAGACTGCCGCGCATTCGAGAAGACTCCCAATCACCTGCGAAGACTGCCGCCCTTGCGAGAAAACTCCCAATCACGTCCGAAGACTGCCGCACATGCGAGAAGACTCCCAATGACGCGCGACAGCTGCTACGCACGCGCGAAGCCATCCAATCACGTACTAAGACTGCCGCGCATGCGACAAGCCTCCCAATCACGTGCGAAGACTGCGGCGCATGCGAGAAGACTCCCAATGACGCGCAAATGCTATCACGTATGCGCGAAGACTCCCAATCACATGCGAAGACTGCCGCGCATGCGAGAAGACTCCCAATGACGCGCGAAGACTCCCAATCACGTGCGAAGACTGCCGCGCATGCGAGAAGACTCCCAATCACGTGCGAAGACTGCGGCGCATGCGAGAAGACTCCCAATGACGCGCAAATGCTATCACGTATGCGCGAAGACTCCCAATCACATGCGAAGACAGCCGCGCATGCAAGAAGACTCCCAATGAGGCGCGAAGGCTATCCCGTATGCGCGAAGATTCCCAATCACGTCCGAAGACTGCCGCGCATGCGAGAAGACTCCCAATGACGCGCGACAGCTGCTACGCACGCGCGAAGACTCCCAATCACGTGCGAAGACTGCCGCGCATGCGAGAAGACTCCCAATGACGCGCAGGGCTATCCCGTATGCGCGAAGACTCCCAATCACATGCAAAGACAGCCGCGCATGCGAGAAGACTCCCAATGACGCGCGAAGGCTATCCCGTATGCGCGAAGACTCCCAAACACGTGCGAAGACTGCCGCGCATGCGAGAAGACTCTCAATGACGCGCGAAAGCTGCCACTCATGCGCGAAGACTCCCAATCACGTTCGAAGACTGCCGCGCATGCGAGAGGACTCCCAATGACGCGCGAAGGCTATTTCGTTTGCGAGAAGACTCCCAATGACGCGCGAAGGCTATGCCGTATGTGCGAGGACTCCCAATCACGTGCGAAGACTGCCGCGCATGCGAGAAGACTCCCAATCACGTGCGAAGACTGCCGCGCATGCGGCAAGCCTCCCAATCACGTGCGAAAACTGCCGCGCATGCGAGAAGACTCCCAATAACGCGCAAATGCTATCACGTATGCGCGAAGACTCCCAATCACATGCGAAGACTGCCGCCCTTGCGAGAAAACTCCCAATCACGTCCGAAGACTGCCGCGCATGCGAGAAGACTCCCAATGACGTGCGACAGCTGCTACGCACGCGCGAAGCCATCCAATCACGTACTAAGACTGCCGCGCATGCGACAAGCCTCCCAATCACGTGCGAAGACTGCCGCGCATGCGAGAAGACTCCCAATGACGCGCAAAGGCTATCACGTATGCGCGAAGACTCCCAATCACGTACTAAGACTCCCGCGCATGCGACAAGCCTCCCAATCATGTGCGAAGACTGCCGCGCATGCGACAAGCCTCCCAATCACGTGCGAAGACTTCCGCGCATGCGAGAAGACTCCCAATGACGCGCGAAGGCTATCACGCATGCGCGAAGACTCCCTATCACGTGCGAAGGCTATCACGTATGCGAGAAGACACCCAATCACGTGCGAAGACTGCCGCGCATGCGAGAAGACTCCTAATGACGCGCGACAGCTGCTACGCACGCGCGAAGACTCCCAATGACGCGCGAAGGCTATCCCGTATGCGTGAAGTCTCCCAATCACGTGCGAAGACTGCCGCGCATGCGAGAAGACTCCCAATCACGTGCGAAGTCTGCCGCGCATGCGACAAGCCTCCCAATCACGTGCGAAGACTGCCGCGCATGCGAGAAGACTCCCAATGACACGCGACAGCTGCTACGCACGCGCGAAGACTCCCAATCACGTACTAAGACTGCCGCGCATGCGTCAAGCCTCCCAATCACGTGCGAAGACTGCGGCGCATGCGAGAAGACTCCCAATGACGCGCAAATGCTATCACGTATGCGCGAAGACTCCCAATCACATGCGAAGACTGCCGCGCATGCGAGAAGACTCCCAATGACGCGCGAAGACTCCCAATCACGTGCGAAGACTGCCGCGCATTCGAGAAGACTCCCAATCACCTGCGAAGACTGCCGCCCTTGCGAGAAAACTCCCAATCACGTCCGAAGACTGCCGCGCATGCGAGAAGACTCCCAATGACGCGCGACAGCTGCTACGCACGCGCGAAGCCATCCAATTACGTACTAAGACTGCCGCGCATGCGACAAGCCTCCCAATCACGTGCGAAGACTGCGGCGCATGCGAGAAGACTCCCAATGACGCGCAAATGCTATCACGTATGCGCGAAGACTCCCAATCACATGCGAAGACTGCCGCGCATGCGAGAAGACTCCCAATGACGCGCGAAGACTCCCAATCACGTGCGAAGACTGCCGCGCATGCGAGAAGACTCCCAATCACGTGCGAAGTCTGCCGCGCATGCGACAAGCCTCCCAATCACGTGCGAAGACTGCCGCGCATGCGAGAAGACTCCCAATGACACGCGACAGCTGCTACGCACGCGCGAAGAATTCCAATCACGTACTAAGACTGCCGCGCATGCGCGAAGATTCCCAATCACGTCCGAAGACTGCCGCGCATGCGAGAAGACTCCCAATGTCGCGCGACAGCTGCTACGCACGCGCGAAGACTCCCAATCACGTGCGAAGACTGCCGCGCATGCGAGAAGACTCCCAATGACGCGCAGGGCTATCCCGTATGCGCGAAGACTCCCTATCACATGCAAAGACAGCCGCGCATGCGAGAAGACTCCCAATGACGCGCGAAGGCTATGCCGTATGTGCGAGGACTCCCAATCACGTGCGAAGACTGCCGCGCATGCGAGAAGACTCCCAATCACGTGCGAAGACTGCCGCGCATGCGGCAAGCCTCCCAATCACGTGCGAAGACTGCCGCGCATGCGAGAAGACTCCCAATAACGCGCAAATGCTATCACGTATGCGCGAAGACTCCCAATCACATGCGAAGACTGCCGCCCTTGCGAGAAAACTCCCAATCACGTCCGAAGACTGCCGCGCATGCGAGAAGACTCCCAATGACGTGCGACAGCTGCTACGCACGCGCGAAGCCATCCAATCACGTACTAAGACTGCCGCGCATGCGACAAGCCTCCCAATCACGTGCGAAGACTGCGGCGCATGCGAGAAGACTCCCAATGACGCGCAAATGCTATCACGTATGCGCGAAGACTCCCAATCACATGCGAAGACTGCCGCGCATGCGAGAAGACTCCCAATGACGCGCGAAGACTCCCAATCACGTGCGAAGACTGCCGCGCATGCGAGAAGAATCCCAATCACGTGCGAAGTCTGCCGCGTACGCCGCCAAGACTCCCAATCACTCGCGAGGACTGCCGAACATTGCGCGAAATTGCAAATTTAAAGGTTTAAAGGTTTAAAATTTCGTTGGCGCTAAAATGTAGCGTCAGCCATTGGTTGAACAATGAAGCAAGTACTTACTTCTTTGTTCAACCAATGGTTGACGTTACCTTTTAGAGACAATGAAATTATCTTCCTTTATTCCTCCATTGTCCTCCAGACGGTCCTTTTATGTAATAAATATAATGCTCCATCTGTATACGTAATACGTCTATGCTCCGAGATGTAGGAATTACCTGTTCTGAAGTACTGTCGATCTTGTCGACGTTTGTGGTTTAATTAATCGATTCAATGATTATTGTATATAAATCATCGAATATCTTACTTATATTTTGATCTGTCGAAAAAATTATTACATTGACATTATAGATCAATATATATAATTGAAAATTTATAATTTAATATTGCTAGTCAAATGCCTAATGTCATAATGTCTAAGAATGTATATTATATATATTGATGTATATGATAATGTTAAAAATTAAAAATAAATTGCCATCAGTATTAAATAATTAAATAAAAATGGAGGAGAGAGCAATGCTATCTCTGGATGCTTTCTCTTGTTATGTTTGTTGGATCTTGTCTTAGAGCTGGATCACTGCCATTAAGTTAAATAAATTTATCAGAAGAAGTAAGATATAGAAGTGAAGAAGAATATTTTATGTAATATAAAATTATGTATGTATATAATAGGTGTATATCAGAATTCATTGTATCTTGTAATTTACGTGCAATATGTTTTCCATAGCACAAGTTACAATTAGTTTCAATATTAGGAGCAGGACTCCTTGTTGGTACTGCGCTAGCGATTATACCTGACTGTACCTGAGGGTGTAAGAGCATTATTTACTGTGGATGGTATTATTAATGAAAAAGGTTCATATAGTAGTATAGTGCAATTGCATGTTTACTGATTACCATATTTCATGAAAGTAACATCTGATTAATAGTATTCCTGTTCTTTTTTCTTTTTTTACAGGCAATTTACATACTTTAACTTGGAATTAGTTTAGTACTTGGTTTATGCTTTTAATTGATCAATGTTCAGCCAGAAAAAGTGGAGGAAGACAAGAAAAGTATTACAGCAACCTTAGGTCTTATAGTAGATGCTGCTAGTTGATTGGCGGTGTTGCATTGGGAGCTGCTGCTACATCTCAAGCTGATGTCGAAGTGTCTTAGTTTTTCTTCGCAATAATGTTACACAAGGTAAGGAGGTTATATACAATGTTTCAGAAATGAATTAACAAGCGCTTATAAAATATGTATAAGTTAATATAATTAGTTTATCAATTTTTTTTATCGCTGAACATTAAATTATATTTTATAGGCGCCAGATGCATTTGGACTTGTGTCAATTTCTTCTTCATGAAGGTGTAGATAGAAAGTAAGAAAATAAGCAGACACTTATTAATTTTCTCACTTGCGGCACCGTGTCTTGCACTTGTGACATATTTTGGAATTGGAAAAGTAATGTGAGTGAGTAATGTAAGCTATGTTTAGCCATAATAACTCTTTATATATATTCTAAAGATATTTCTACACAAAGTTTATGTAACAATATTGTATGGAAATATTACATTAGTATAGTAAATCTTATATTTGGATGAAGGCACTTTTACGAATTACATCCTTTTCCTGTCACTTAAAAAGAAGAAAACTTTAAGATTTCCAATTTATTTCAAATAAATAATAATTATAATTAATTAATAACAAATAAATTAAAGTTTTTATTAAAATAAATTTGTTTAAATGAGTACAGAATATGAGAATACTAATATTAACGTAAAATTAATATGTATGGTCATATTGCTCATAATCTCATCTAAATTTAATTTAAATATTTGCAATTTTGGTAATAATACAATAAAACTTGTATCAAGTAATATGAATATAATTTTGAATTTATTTTTAAGCTAAAAATCTTGGACCTTACTTTGTATCTAAAACATCCAACAATTTAGAGGGACTTTCTATTAAAGGACTTTAATTCTCTATATATATATCTACTGACAATTTCGAAATTAAAAATAAATAATATTTAATGTTTATTAAAGGCTATTCAGTATTTTCCTTTCTATAATATATCTAAAATCATTGAAATAGATGATCTGCTGATATTTTTAACTAAAATAGATTGAAACTGATTGGAGAACCTACTTGTTTTAAAAACTCTTCAAAATAATCGTTTTACAGTACATTTTTCAAGATTACTTATTAATTAATATTATAATATTGTTACATTACGTTAGATAAAGATTTCATTATCTTGCCTACATATTTTTTCTTCCTATTATACAAATTAATATTTTAATTTTGTTAAAGAGTATATGGAATGTATCGCAAGATGTGTACACATACAGTTACACCCCATATGCGCACTATACTTGTTTCTTTTGCTGTATACATATGCGTATTGTTTAATAGAAACATTTATTATCTGAAAGGAAAAAATGTTCCTGCTGATGCACAAAAGCGTAACGTCATATACTGATATATCTAAACACTTATGATACTTGCCCTACAGAATGACATAATTTAGATAAAGGAAAATACTTAAATAAAGTGTGTTAGTATTTTGTTTTATATTATAGAAACAAATTTGATGTAAAGCTTATATAATTGAAGTTGCATAAAATTACTCTGCTTGCTACAGTATGCTTGCAGATATCCAAACTGTCGAAACGCAATCTCTGCAATATACAATTGTTGTATGCATATATGTATGCAAAACATATAATGGTGCGAGTTGGGAAAAAAATGCTTTACGATTTAGAACAGATACATTAGAAGCAATTGTACTAAGCATTTAACGAATAAAATTCATTTATATATTATTTATTTGCCCAATATTTCTGTTATTAAATTACGTAATTTTTCCTTAACAGACACCTATTGTAATGAAATAACATACAGTGCACAAGATAGTTAATCAATATATATTATAGAGAAACAATAGAAAATCCGGGTACTAATTTTAGATATTTTTTTAAGGGATGAATGTTGTTTGTGTATATATTTCCTATCGATATGTACAAATAAAACTTGTATATATATTTAGGACATTCAGGACTGCCGCGCAAGACTGCACGCGCCAATCAGGCGCGAGAACGGACGCGGACGCGCGAAGACTCCCAATCAGGAGCGAGGACTGCCGTGCGTGCGCGAAGACGTCCAATCAGGCGCGAGAACTGCCGCGCACGCCGCCAAGACTCCCAATCAGGCGCGAGGACTGCCGCGGACGCGCGAAGACTGCCAATCAGGAGCGAGGACTGCCGCGCACGCCGCCATAACTGCCAATCAGGCGCGAGGACTGCCGAACATGCGCGAAATTGCAAATTTAAAGGTTTAAAGGTTTAAAATTTCGTTGGCGCTAAAATGTAGCGTCAGCCATTGGTTGAACAATGAAGCAACTACTTACCTCTTTGTTCAACCAATGGTTGACGCTACCTTTTAGCGACAATGAAATTATCTTCCTTTATTCCTCCATTGTCCTCCAGACGGTCCTTTTATGTAATAAATATAATGCTCCATCTGTATACGTAATACGTCTATGCTCCGAGATGTAGGAATTACCTGGTCTGAAGTACTGTCGATCTTGTCGACGTTTGTGGTTTAATTAATCGATTCAATGATTATTGTATATAAATCATCGAATATCTTACTTATATTTTGATCTGTCGAAAAAATTATTACATTGACATTATAGATCAATATATATAATTGCAAATTTATAATTTAATATTGCTAGTCAAATGCCTAATGTCATAATGTCTAAGAATGTATATTATATAGGTACATTGATGTATATGATAATGTTAAAAATTAAAAATAAATTGCCATCAGTATTAAATAATTAAATAAAAATGGAGGAGAGAGCAATGCTATGGATGCTTTCTCTTGTTATGTTTGTTGGATCTTGTCTTGGAGCTGGATCACTGCCATTAAGTTAAATAAATTTATCAGAAGAAGTAAGATATAGAAGTGAAGAAGAATATTTTATGTAATATAAAATTATGTATGTATATAATAGGTGTATATCAGAATTCATTGTATCTTGTAATTTACGTGCAATATGTTTTCCATAGGACAAGTTACAATTAGTTTCAATATTAGGAGCAGGACTCCTTGTTGGTACTGCGCTAGCGATTATACCTGACTGTACCTGAGGGTGTAAGAGCATTATTTACTGTGGATGGTATTAAATAATGAAAAAGGTTCGTATAGTAGTATTGTGCAATTGCATGTTTACTGATTACCATATTTCATGAAATTAACATCTGATTAATAGTATTCCTGTTCTTTTTCCTTTTTTTACAGGCAATTTACATACTTTAACTTGGAATTAGTTTAGTACTTGGTTTATGCTTTTAATTGATCAATGTTCAGCCAGAAAAAGTGGAGGAAGACAAGAAAAGTATTACAGCAACTTTAGGTCTTATAGTAGATGCTGCTAGTTGATTGGCGGTGTTGCATTGGGAGGCTGCTGCTACTACATCTCAAGCTGATGTCGAAGTGTCTTAGTTTTTCTTCGCAATAATGTTACACAAGGTAAGAAGGTTATATACAATGTTTCAGAAATGAATTAACAAGCGCTTATAAAATATGTAAGTTAATATAATTAGCTTATCAATTTCTTTTATCGCTGAACATTAAATTATATTTTATAGGCGCCAGATGCATTTGGACTTGTGTCAATTTCTTCTTCATGAAGGTGTAGATAGAAAGTAAGAAAATAAGCAGACACTTATTAATTTTCTCTCTTGCGGCACCGTGTCTTGCACTTGTGACATATTTTGGAATTGGAAAAGTAATGTGAGTGAGTAATGTAAGCTGTGTTTGCCATAATAACTCTTTATATATATTCTAAAGATATTTCTACACAAAGTTTATGTAACAATATTGTATGGAAATATTACATTAGTATAGTAAATCTTATATTTGGATGAGGGCACTTTTACGAATTACATCCTTTTCCTGTCACTTAAAAAGAAGAAAACTTTAAGAACTTCCAATTTATTTCAAATAAATAATAATTATAATTAATTAATAACAAATAAATTAAAGTTTTTATTAAAATAAATTTGTTTAAATGAGTACAGAATATGAGAATACTAATATTAACGTAAAATTAATATGTATGGTCATATTGCTCATAATCTCATCTAAATTTAATTTAAATATTTGCAATTTTGGTAATAATACAAATAAAACTTGTATCAAGTAATATGAATATAATTTTGAATTTATTTTTAAGCTAAAAATCTTGGACCTTACTTTGTATCTAAAACATCCAACAATTTAGAGGGACTTTCTATTAAAGGACTTTAATTCTCTATATATATATCTACTGACAATTTCGAAATTAAAAATAAATAATATTTAATGTTTATTAAAGGCTATTCAGTATTTTCCTTTCTATAATATATCTAAAATCATTGAAATAGATGATCTGCTGATATTTTTAACTAAAATAGATTGAAACTGATTGGAGAACCTACTTGTTTTAAAAACTCTTCAAAATAATCGTTTTACAGTACATTTTTCAAGATTACTTATTAATTAATATTATAATATTGTTACATTACGTTAGATAAAGATTTCATTATCTTGCCTACATATTTTTTCTTCCTATTATACAAATTAATATTTTAATTTTGTTAAAGAGTATATGGAATGTATCGCAAGATGTGTACACATACAGTTACACCCCATATGCGCACTATACTTGTTTCTTTTGCTGTATACATATGCGTATTGTTTAATAGAAACATTTATTATCTGAAAGGAAAAAATGTTCCTGCTGATGCACAAAAGCGTAACGTCATATACTGATATATCTAAACACTTATGATACTTGCCCTACAGAATGACATAATTTAGATAAGGAAAATACTTAAATAAAGTGTGTTAGTATTTTGTTTTATATTATAGAAACAAATTTGATGTAAAGCTTATATAATTGAAGTTGCATAAAATTACTCTGCTTGCACAGTATGCTTGCAGATATCCAAACTGTCGAAACGCAATCTTGCAAATGACAATTGTTGTATATATATGTATGCAAAACATATTGGTGCGAGTTAGAAAAAAATGCTTTACGATTTAGAACAGATACATTAGAAGCAATTGTCAGCATTTAACGAATAAAATTCATTTATATATTATTATTT